TTATTATATAACACGCATGTTATATAACAGTTATATTGTTGAGTAGGAAATTACAACTAACATGTATGTTACATATAATATTGTGTTTGCTGGGGAAGTTCATAGAGAATTTTAAAGAACATCTAAAGCATTAAAAAAAATTAATATTCGAAGAATTACCCGAGTTTAATTTATTCTAAAGTATTCCTCAGAAATTTATTATAATGAATATTTGGCAAATCATTACTTAAGATATTCTGACAAAAAAAGATATTCGTGAAAAATTACTATTATTAGCTAATTTCATTTATTATATGGTATGGTTACATTAGACAGATACCCCTTATAATAAGCGATGATTTATATGTTTATATATAAATTTAATTATTTAAATTAAATTAAATTAAATTTTATGTGGTAAGATGAACTTTTTCTCTTTTTTTAATTGTGCTCTTTTATAATCATTTGAATTTTATAATTTCTTATGACTTTGTCTATTTAATAACAGCAATACAAAAAATTTTACTATAAAAATTTTAAGATAGAAATTAAATGTGCGATGTTTCGCAGACCTCACCCCACTAGTTAAGGTTTAAATTAACAATAAAAGTACAAAAAATATAATGTTTATTAAAATTAAATCATATTCATATAATCATATTATAAATCATATTATATAAAAATTATATTGCTGCGTTAATTGAAACATATACAGGGTAATCGGAAACAATCGCGGTTAATATTCTCGTATTTTTGAGCAAAATCTAAGACTATTTTTCCTCTTGCAAAATGTTATCTGAGGCTTAGTTGCTAGTATAAAGAGAAATAGTTAGCCACTCATAGCCCAGATACAGAAAGTAGGCAGGGGCGGCACAATTCACCGTCAGACACAGACGTTGGGCAATACACATGTAACAATATTCATACATCTTAGTTTGTAAATTTTCAATGCTTGCGTCAATGTGATTGTACACAATAGTAAATAAATTATTTTAACTTAATTGGATATGATTATAACATAACATATAAGGGTGAAATAGTCGATTGCGTTCACGCACGCGAACTTGACCTAAGTGCAATATAAACTTTACAAATACGAAAAACTTTAAAAATAAGCACGAGAAGAACGAAACATTAATCGTACAAAGCATAAGATATTCTTACATTATTTGAGAAAACTGACGAGTTTATAAATACGAGAATGCAATTGTTTCCAGTCACCTTGTACGGACAAAATATGACGTTTACATCGAAGAAGTGGTGTAGTGTCTAAAGCAATAGGCTTATAATTCTCAGCTTTAAGTTCAAGTCCCAGTGTTAGTGAGAATTTTTAAGTGTGATATAACAATTAAAATCAAGTAATCTTAAATTTCAAGTAAAGTCAGCAAACGCTGACTGGTTTTTTATTTTAACTAATTTACCGGATCTTTGTAAAAAAATGAAACTTTTTACGCATATTTGAATATTCCTTGTACATTCTATGAATATTCCGGAATATTTTGGGATATTCTTGGAATGTTATTGGGTTGTCGGAAAAGTCATGACGCATTTTTGCAACAGATGGCGCTAGTTCTTTTTGGAAGTACTAGAGTCATTCGCATTTATGTTATTGCTATGTCATTTGACAGCTGACAGTTCTAGCTTTATTTAAAAAAAAAATTGAGCGATTAGGTTGAGTTTTGGAATTTTGTAACAAGTTGAAGATGGAAGACCAAACTGTGCATTTTCGCCATATATTACTATTTTATTTCCGTAAAGGGAAGAACGCGTGTCAAGCTTGTGAAAAGTTGTGTAAAGTTTACGGGCAATGCTGTACAAATACGTCAGTGCCAACGATGGTTCACGAAATTCCGTGCTGGTGATTTTGATCTCAAAGATGCTCCTCGGTCAGAGACGCTTATCGAGGTTGATGACGACAAAATAAAGACATTGATCGAGTCAAACCCACGTTACACGACATGAGAGATTGCAGGAACATCCATCATTCAAGCGTTCACGACTATCTAAAGAAGCTGGGATACGTAAGCAAGCTCGATATTTGGGTTCTTCATGAACTCAAAGAAGTTAATTTGACGGCGCGTATAAACATCTGCGATATGCTCACTAAACGTGAGGAAAACGATCCTTTTTTGAAACGACTGATAACTGGTGATGAGAAGTGAATTGTTTACAACAATGTGGTGCGCAAACGGTCTTGGTCCCGACGTGATGATTTGCCTCAAACGATATCGAAAGCAAACATTCATCAGAGGAAGGTTACGCTCTCAGTGCGGTAGAATTTTAAAGGTGTCGT